CATACTACATAGTGTATAATATGGTCAATAAATACCATTGCATACCTTTACATATATCCTCAGTAAAAAGTAAAATAATTTTGTGTATATATAATCCATGTATCGACTAACAGGATTTAAAGTGCCCTAAAGATGCATTTTTTAATGCAATAAAGTATTGACAATAAAATCTACTTATTGATCAATAATGAATCAGCTACTAGTTGTGATTATCATATATTTCATTAATCTACTAAATAAACATCTGATTTTCTATAATTTTCTTGGCTTAATTGTAGATTACTGAAGATTTTAATATTTTTCTTGAACGAGGAAATATTTGAAACATAATCTCTTAGAACTTTAACAGGATGATTAGACACTGACAAAATTAATTTCTTCATTAACTCAATTTAGAATTTTAATGGAAACCTGCTGAAGTATTTTTCTTACAAGTTGGGAGAATTTCAGGCAATGTCTTGAGGCAATTTCTTAGTTCTGCAAGAAACAACACACATACAGCAGATGGAGGGAAACTCATGGATACTTAGAAATTATATTTTCCCACAGTCATGAAAACTATTACATTGAAGTGTGATGAAAAAATGAAATTTGAATTACTTCAATATATTAGTATATATTTTCTGAATGCCATTTAAGTCCCCTAACAGAGGAAATAAAGTGTGGCAATATGAATAAAACCCTAGACTTCTAATATGCATTTTTATTATTTTGTTTGACAGGTTATATATAGGCTTAATATTGCTTAATGTGATTGTCAAATAATTTAGTTTGAAAATCTGGAATCTTATAAATGTTTTAATATGATTAGGGAATCTGTGTCACTGTTTCTAGACACCTTTGCAGATCATATAACTGTGCTTCAAAATACATCTGTCTATTATTTTCTAAACAAAAGAATAAAATAACATTTCATTACATTAAAGAAACAAAGTATCTTGTATAGATTTTTTTATGTGTGGTGGCAAACATGAAAATAAATTACTGACATTAAACTGACATTCTGCTGATATCACTTGTTTGTAAAAAAATCTTTTTAGTGAATTTTCCTTAGGAATAATTTTTTTGAATGTGGTAGAGGGCAATTTTTGTTAGAGAAAAATTGTATTTTAGTTATATGCAGAATTTTATAAACATTTTAATAAGAATCCTGATATGGCAAATTTTATCTTTATTAAAAAAAAAATATACCACTATAAATACTGTGTGTTAGATTCATGTTGATATTCACCGTGAGCTCCTTCATCAGTTGTAATGAAATCAAAAACATGGGAAAAGGAATAAAGTATTGTTTATCGTAAGGATGTCTGTCTCTACCCTATAGAACTGGTGAATTCCAACAGAGGAATTTCTGAAACTGATATTCAACACAATTGTGCTAAAGCAAGAGCTTCAACAAATCATACAGATGTTTTCATTTTTCCATGAAATCATATAAACAAAAGAAATGTGGGACAATTTTACTATTTCCGTACATGTGCTGAGTGCGCAAAATTTCAGAAGGGATTCAGTAGAATTAGAAAAAGTATGAAGGCAACCAAAATGGTTAGACAGAAGGGAAGACCTCCAGAGGGAACAATTCTAAATTGACTTGCAAAAAGAGACCACTGAGGAAGAATGCGAAGATATAGGTCTATAGTACCCAGAAGGGCATATAGAAGAGTGAATAAAGAATTAATATTTACTGTTTTTCACAATATGGGTACTAGAACCATCCACTGGAACTGTTAGGAAGCAGTTTTAGAATAGCCAAAGGAAAAACCTTTGTAGATGAAACTACAGTGTGGAACCCATGATTAATGATTTTAAAAATCAGAAGCACGGATTAGTTCAAAACCATTTAACTGTAAGAAGCTGACAGAATATCCGTGGAAAGACTGTATTTGCCCCGTGTTAGTCTTCCAGTCCTTGCCACTGTTCCAGGTGAGATACTAAATGGTCCTTCAGTCTAGCCCCTCGTGGCTGGTCCTGCATCTTTATGTGGGATTTGTGTGAAACCACAAGTAGTAACTCCTTCCTCCCTCCACCCAAAAAAACAAGCAAAGAGTGCATTAATTAATCTTTTTAACATTCTCAGGTGTCCAAAAAGTTCCATTATTAATGGAGTTACATGCATGAGTCAGCATCTGCTGACTTAGTGTCAATCTATGCATGTGATGTGAATATTTTAAGAAGATTTTTAAGAAAAAAGGAGAAGACCCCACAAATAGAGTTGAGAAGGACTGCTAAAGACTGCAGTTACCAAATACATGAAGAATATTCATAAACTTGATAAAAATTAAGTATTTCATTTTCACTGGTTTTAGGAAAAACTGTTGGCCATTAACTAACGTCATTTTCACCCGAATAAAGCCATTGAAAACTGGTGCTAAATGCTGCTCAATTAGAATGGCCCAATGTATCCGTTTGCACTCCCTTTTCCCATGTGTAAATGCTAGCACATGGTCAAGATAAGAAAATCAGATAATAAAGAAGCTTCTTTTGTAAAAATGTATCATTATGGTGACAGTGAAAAACTTTCTGAAAACTCATTTCTGGACTAATGAAATAACATTTTATGATAAGTTTCTAATAGTTAAACTTAACAGAAGTTACTGATAATTTTTAAGTTTCCAGGCAGCATATTGTTTCTGTGTAATCTAATGAAAACAATGTGTGTTCTAGAAAGCCAAATGTTTTCTGATCTTGAAAGAAACTAATGAATAGCTATACATATATATATATAAAAAAAAAATAAAAACATCAGTAACATATGTAATGAGCTTATGTTTTAAGTATTCAGAATCATGGTATGGTTTCATATTTGTGGTGCATGCTTCTATGGAATTAATAGTCCATTGTCTCTGCTTTTTCTTTGTTAGTTTCTGTCTGTGATGATAAAAACTACAGAAACTTCAGTGTTAGAGTACTTTCTTTTTACAAACGTTTATCCTTGCTACATTCTTGTTCTTTCACTTATCCAATTAAATAGTTTCAGATCTCTTTTTATCAAGTACTTGTCAAGCATTTGGTACAGAAGCATGTTTTTACCCTGCCTAGTTAATTAAGGTGACTGTAAACAAAAAGATGTACCATTCAAAGCCAAGCAGTGTTTCACACAAGGATGGAGGTGATAATAGCTTAATTCCTGCTTGATCTTTCCTGTCTTTGCCCTGGCTACTTCGGATTGACCTTGTCCGCAATCTGATGACCTCCCTATTGCACTCAGCCATTTGGAAAGCTGCTCATGCCATAGCTGGCCCTGAGGGGCTATCTGGGAGACCACTGATCCATTGACCCATGTCAAGACTGGGTTTCAGATCTGATCTACTGAGCTTCTGACGTAGCTACATACTACACCCACTGTAGACAAAGCCAGTGGGGCAGTCTGATTTTTTTTTTTTTTTTACTTCTTAAGTGGCATGCAGTTTGCACTTGCTGTACGGAAGACCAATTTTACACCAGTCATTTGCTATGAAATACACTTCCTGAAGCAATTACACGTATTGATCCTTTCTTTACAAAGGAAGTAAATTCTCTAATTTAGTGGCTCAATTTTTCTAAATCCATCAAATTGCCAGGTTTATTGGGTGTATTTAAGTCCCAACATCAAGTTCCAAAAAAAAAAACCAAACCACCTTTAAAATATATTAAGGGCAGAAATACATATGTTATGTCTTAATAGGCTTTTTCTATTAAGAGTTATGCCAGGACTTTGCAGACATTTATAAAAGTGTGTAAATAAGGTTCTAATCACATTAACTTAGATATGTTTATGTATATCCTAGTGCATATTTTACAAAATAAATGACAACTTACGAAGTTGCATGTCTGTTTGCAAAACAGGGAAACACTCCATTTATCCAGGAGAAAATCCGTATAATTTTGAGCCTAATTTTGCTTCCTAGCATGTTGTGTTCAATTCTGCACTAGAATGTACCATTTTCTGATTAAAAAACCTCTTTGTTTAGCCATTAGTATTACTTTGTTTTTCTCATAAGACTTGGAAATTACAATTCCTTTGCTGTATGTGCTTGCATTTTTTCCTCAACTGTGTTTAGCATAGCAGGCTCTGCCTGCAGAAGTGCCAGGGCAGGCCAGCCATGTTAAATGCCGCGTTCCAGTCCTGTTCAGCACAGGTCTATAGAGCACACTTATTTAAAGCGGTGATGATCCTGACAAGGAATTTAGCGCATACACAGACCTTGTAACCATGTGAATTTCCTTCCTTTTTTTCCCATGTGTGTGTGTGAGAAATTATGCATGATTCTTCCCTGTAATTATAGACTGGACACATAATTGAGTTAATGACCCTTCCATGAAAGAAAAATATTGACTTGATTCAGCTTTGACTGTGTGGGTTTTTTTCTGAACATATGGTAGAACTCCAGGTATTTTAGAATTTACAAAAAAAAAAAATTTCTGGGCATTGAATAATCTTAGATAATAGCCTAAACATTAAGTTCCTAGACCCTTTATGTTAGAGAGAATAAGAATATAACTGGGTTTTACACCTTTGTAATTAATATATATGGCGCTACTTTCACCCAAACTATAGACGGCCATTTGTGCATTAGCACTTTAAAATGTGGATTGTATTAAAATGTGAAAGAAGCAGTTTTCCCCAACTTCTTAACATCCTTGGTTGTCTCTTGCTTTCCGCTAAATATTATTTGTACCATGTGATGTTCATTACTTTAGTTTTATAAGTTTTTCTGCGCATAATGTGCAATCTTTATTGCAAACAAAACCAATGTGCTGACTTTTTTGTTTTATAGCCTGTTGTGTCTTAGTTCTTTGTCGTGTTAAAAACATGATAAGGATTTATCATATCTAAAGGTTTAAATTTTAGAAAGTATGAAAGAGGGGATTTCCCCCTTCTAGGGGGAGGGGAGATGTCTGTGGGAGGATTTTGTGTATTCTCTTTGCCTAATGTCATTCTAATAATTATTTTTTTAACATGAGAAAGTGCATCCTCTGACAGAATTTATAACATGGCATTGTTTTTCATTTATATACAGGAATTGATTCCTGAATTCTATTACCTCCCAGAGATATTTGTCAACAGCAATAATTACAATCTGGGAGTGATGGATGATGGAACAATTGTGTCTGATGTTGAACTTCCACCATGGGCCAAAACCCCAGAAGAATTTGTTCGCATAAACAGACTGGTAAGATGGCTATCTTCTATTGTCTGTCAAGTAACATTTGTCTTGCAAGATTCTTCTGAAATAGTTTGGATCTTTGCTTGCAATATATAGTTATTTATAATTTATGTAGGACTATGGCTGATATAATCTGAAGAAATGTTAGATTTACAAGTTTAGGAAGAAAAAGGCATATAGTATTGCTCATTCTTTAGAATTGCTCAAAAAAGTTTGAGTGTGGCCTAAATATGCAGGAGATCTTATCCCATTTGTATGTCAGCTCTTGTGGTTCTAAAGAGCTAATAAAATCATCACTTTACAAAAGACTTGAAAAACCTTGTTTAATCATAGAAAGATTTGTCACTCTGATTACTTAAATGTAATTTTAGGGGTTTTAATTTTAGTATCCATTTAACTCCAAATATCAATGAACGCCTCAGGAAAGAAGGTTGCATTTTAAATCTTCTGCCACCTCTACCATTTCTTCCATTAAATTGAGATTTTTCAGAGCTGTTTTTACAAGAAAATAGAACTGATTTCTCCTTTGCCTGCTTCATTCCACAAACCTGTATTAGTCTTCTCTTCCCTGTTTTGGAAAACCCTGTTGTTAGCACTGCCTGTCTTCACTGTGCCCTCTGGGCAGCGTAATGAATTACAGAATAGCTGTTACATTATCATTGTTGGTGTTTCAGCACATTCTCAAAGCTATTACATCAGGCTCTTCTCAAAATGAAAGGATTCTGCATCAGTGGCACTCTAAAATAAATAAATTAGAGAAGGTTTTTTTAATGAATCTTGAAAAATGAGGCTGCGGTTTTCATGTGGTAGTCAGTTAACTGGGAAATACTGAATTAAGGCATGGAAACTCTCAAAAACTTTTCAGATACCAGGCTTAGACTTGATAACATCCTGATATTCCTAAGTTAGAAAATGGGAATTTAAAAAGTTCTGTTGTTGGCAGAACATCAGGCCTCATATTCATAAAGTTGCAGAACAGTCACATCAGAAGAAATCTGCGAATTATAAGTTATCAGAATGCTTTACACTGCACTTTTGCTGGTGACATGATACCATGGCCTTCATAAACGTTATTTGGCCTAGATTTCTGCAGGCAGTTGTAGGGTGCACCATAATAATCACAAATTATGTTAGGTGAATTTAGTGTTTTGCTTCATATAGAAGTATGTGCAAATTTTATTTAAACGAGGTATGAAATACACTAACATTTAGCAGGACTACTTGGCAAGCCATGTTCAGACGCAACTTTTGATCTTACAGTTGTGCTGATAGGTAATAGGTTAGGGAGGTAGCCTGACACCTTTTTGAGCTTGGCGTGCATTGGTGATTCAGGATAACCTGAGAAATTAAAAGCTGTGTTCTTAAGCAGACTTGTCAAAGGCACCTTGTGGCCTTGATCTCTCACAAATGTGGTATTTTAGCTTTTGCATAAAATATAG